AAAAATTCAATCATGGATTACAAAAAACTCTATCATGGGTTACAAAAAAGCAAAAAAAAAAATTCAATTATGGATTACAAAAAAAAAACAAACATTTCGATCATGGATTACAAAAAATTCGATCATGGATTACAAAAAAACAAAAACAATTCGATCATGGATTACAAAAAAATCGATCAAGTATTACAAAAAAATCTATCATGGATTACAAAAAAAAAAAAAAACGGTACCGGACTCGCCGATTCACTGTACGGACTCGCCGATTCCGCACGGTGAATCGGCGAGTCACTGTACAGAATCGTCTGGTTCTCTCTAAAACCGGATGATTTCCGATTTTTTAGCCGATACGATCCACTTTTTGCGATTCCGAGTCGAACCGGGCGAGTCCGATTCGACTCGGCGTTTTTTAAAACACTGGTTGAAACCATTAACTCTTTCCATTGATGTTTATATTATAATTTATTTTCTGTTGCATCTCTTCTTTGAGTGAGAACATAAATCGCTCGATTACATTTATAGTTAGCAAAACACTTTATGACATGCAATGAAAAGGATTACTTAAAAAGAGTGCTCTACTGATTTGATTTGAGGAGTTCTAATCAGCATCATGTCATTAAATGCTAAAAATTCTGACATGGTGTTGGTATTGCATTCCACTTGAGGGCAACTCTTTCTACTCATTAACCCACTCTTTATCGCTCCTATTTACCAATAAAAACATGAACATGTCGAATACAAAATACAATATCGCACAAAGACTTCAACCATTTTTTGGTAATCTTAACATCTATCTTGTTTGTTTACCATGGATAGGCTACGATTCAAATTTCATTACTATTCCACAACTATCAACATCTCATCGACTAAGTATTCAACAAATGGTTAATTTGACTAATTTTCACAACTCCAAAATCTCATGTTCAATAAGTAAGGATATTACAATCACAAGAATTTGAGAAGTGTGATTAAAGATCAGGTCTTGCAGATCCAAATCCAGAAACCTAGGATCCTAGGGGCCAGGATACAATTTAATAATTTTCTATTATCCATTATCAAATGAGCCCCAATTGCTCATTCAAATTCAGGAGGCATGCTGATCCATAAAACACAACCTTTATGTATGTTTTGGGAGCAGTGTGAATGCCATCGTTTTTTGAACAAGCAAAGGAAGGGGTCTCGCTTGCAACCAGAGAGCCGGACTGTAAGACACCACCACATTAGGTGGCTGAATTTGTACAGAAGACCAAGGGCTGTAATTTTTTCATGCTTCTGCACATAAAATAGTTGGTTACCCAACTTAACTCGTCCCACCACACATTATTTTTGTCACATAACTTCCTTTATTCAATGAAAAACAGTTAACAGAAAAATAAATAAATAAATAAATAATACAGATTTTCTCAACATGTCCACAAACAAAAAATGTATTTCAATATTATACATAGCAATCAAAACAATGATAATGATCATAAGCAGGTGTTGTCCTTATGACATGACATCAAAAAATAGAATAGGCCGCAAAATGGCAAACAAGCGGCTGCCAGACATTCCTAATGACACCTAGATAGAACAAATATTCACATAAACAAATTCTCAATACAATCACACTTCATGTTCCTCCCCTAAACTGAGTTAAGGTCACGAGAAACTTGACCCTGCCACCTGACAAATAAAGGCCATTACATCCTGAACATGGAAAGGAGATCTAATTATGTACAATAGAACATATGAAAAAATGAATGTAAGAGTATCAGTACCTTGATATTAGAAATCTTGCGAGGGGACTTAGGCCTGAATTCTCGGTCTGATCAACATTTGGTTGCCTCTTCCCATTGCTTGGCTTTGATGATGTTGCTTCATTGTTTGCACTCTCCATGTTTGGTGGAGCACTGGTTTTTGCAAAGATGCGTGCTGCCAGTTCTTGGAGCCCTTTCACAGAGGGTTCCTTTGTGCTGCAAAGGTTTTCCCTCTCATTTTAGTGAACAAAGAAAAAATGCAATATAAAAGTGATAACTTGAATAAGAGAGAATTGAGAACATGGATTAAGAATTCACAGACCTTCCAAGTTGTTGAAGCAACCTGCTGACAAAAACTTCACATGAACTGGGTAGTGCATGCTCCATTTCAATTAAAGAGTTGGTGACAGCACGCACCACCGCTCCTTCTGAATCGTTACCAGAGGCCTAAATATTGCCATATGAAACTCATGGATTTAGGGAGACAAAATCCAAAAACTCCCTCACCAAAATATTCACAATCGTGCATGCATTTTCATGCGTATCTCCCAAATACAGGTACTCACAATGCAGACAAATATGTAGAGAAATATTCTTAGACAGTGTAAAACAATGGCATGCAAAATGCATGTTGAATCTTAAAATATGCTATTTTGACTAAAAATTCCAAGAGCTCATTAGTTTTCCACTAGCAGATTGGAATGTATTGAAACGGGAATATCACAACACACTAGATAAGCAACCCTATTCTATAGTAAACTTTTGGATCCATTCTTTTAGTCTGCAAGAGGCAACAGTTTCTATAGCCATCTTGTTATATTAATCTCTCTCTCCAATCATTGTTCAAGTGATATCTAATCCCCAGCTCAACCACCATAAGTAAAAGGGAAGAAAGGAACAGAAGTTTCCTGTCCTAAATTATGACAAATCTCATGATTGTTTACCAAAAGAGGAATAGCATGTATGGGAGGCTGAATCAAGTGTCCCGAGTCCCAACGGTGAAAAGAAAATCTCCTTAGTATTATCACATTCAGATCACCTTCTTCCATCAAAAAGGCTAAAAAATGATGTCAAGTCCTATAACCACCATATATCAACAATGATGGAAATATTCAAGGGCTTTGGCACTCAGAAGGCTCAAAATCGTTCGACCAAAATGCCAGACTCTCACCCACAAGAGTTCAACGCATAACTACACTAGATCCGAAATTCCTGAGTACTCCCTAGTATGCAGACAGGATCAAAGTACCAAAGATTTTGTTTATATGGCATCAAGAAGCATTATGAGAGGACTACGTCAACCTGTCTGAAACTCCCCATAAACCACGACGCAAGAACCTTGAAACAACAATTGTAATAGCTGTGATCCTTTTTTTTTTTCATCTCCTTCTCACAGAAAGTAATCCTAGTATTATCTTTCCAAACCTCCAGCAAGTCAAAGACAAATTCCACACCACTGAGCATCTAACTGGAGAATGAATACATCAGTGTAGGAATGGATAAGCCACAAGACATGCCTGTTCCCCATATATGGATGAGGAATGGTTTTAGAACTACTTGAAATACTTGTAATGAAGACAAATAATGGACCATACACACTTCTTCCCCTCAAGAAGAACAGAAACTACATACAACCCCAATCTAGGAAACAAACAAGCTACTTAGTTTGGCATTGGAATCACTAACTTTATTAACTATCATCAATCAAGCCATTTACTGGCTTCCTGTGTAGATAGGCAGGTGAGAGCAGCACAGGTTCCACCATGTGGCTTTTCCCTCCTCACAAGTTTGAGCCTTTCCTAAGTACGGTAATAGATAGCTGCTCACTGGGACTACTTAACAGCATCACAGCTTCAAGTTCCCAAACATTGAACTCCTGTCCAGGACATTTATGGAAACTCTGACAGATATTCTTACCATGCAATTTTGCCCGAGATATTATAATTTATTCAAGTTATTTGGAACCTATTCAGCCACTCCATATTCGTTGCCCCATTTGTGAGGTTCTGGCAATCATGGCATAGTTTCACGATGAGGTTGCGACATTTTGAGGATGTGCTCTCACTAGATATCATAAAGAGGATTTGAAATGTTCGCATTTCTAGGGGGCATTACCTCCCAAAATTTCAAGGGATTAGTGCTGGCAGTCCTTGATGTGAATGATCAATAGTCACTAAGAGTGAAGACACAACTTGACCTACCATTATGTAGCCTACCTCTCATATTGGACTTGAAAGCTTAATCTTGATGGTCGTTCTCTTGGCGACTCGACCTTCTAAGGTTGCAGAGTTGTGAAATAATTCTTAGGGATCATTAGGAGGCCATTCTCCAACTTATCAGCAAAATATTGAAGACATGTTGCCTCTTTTTCTGTAGAAAATCCCTTGTCAGTGCACCCCTGATGAGACTAATTTGGTGGCCTATCACAAGGGAGTGCACAAATAGAGAGTCTTTCACTTCCTTCCTAGATAAATTATTCAGTATTCTTCTCACAGCCTCTGTGCTCTTAAAATGCTTTATTCTGGTTTCTTTTGTTTCTGCCTTCAAAAGATATCTTTGTTTATCTGCACTTGAAGCAAGTCAATGTTATTGTGTCATTATATCAATTAATGTTTTTTCTAATGTTACCAAAAGAAGGCTAGCTACAAATTCTCAAGGTGGTACAACAAAATTCCCAGTACTATCCTACGCCATAGGTGCATATGAATGAGCATGCATGCAAGAGAATGACAGTATTGGGGAAAAAACGAAAAGAAAAAAAAACAAAAGTAGCTCTGGTTATGAACCTCTTTCAGTGCAGGAATAAGCAATAAAGACAAGGATGGGGAAGACACAGCTGCTGCATAGCGGGCACCACTCTCATCATCACTTGATCGACCCAATCTCGACAATAAATTTGGTGCATCCAAATACTCATGAGAATCTCTGTGACAAAAGTGACATCAAGTTGAGAAAAAGAGAACACGTGAAAAATCAATTTATATCACATGCTCATAAAATATCACATGAAACAATAGTGTTACTTAAGTTATGCACTACAATATTGTACAATTCACCTAGAAGAATCCGAGCTGGTTGGCCTCTCTGCAACTTTGCTTTCCTGCCCATCTATATGAAGCTTTCCAAGTTGAAACCTTTCTCGAGTATTTCCTTTTCTCAAGCCAGCCTGCAGTGCTGCTTTTGCCTATAAAATTACAACCCCAATAGAAAGCCAATTTAAGGATCATATCCAATCATTGAAATGAATGATACTGTAAACATTAACAAAATATAGAAATCACAATAACAACCTCTGCTAGGTTGACAGCACTATCTTCTTGTGAAGCTCTTGATGCCTTCTCTTGAATTCCTAACCTGGACCTTGGTGTTCTGGAGGGCGGGTCTGCTTCATCAAGTGGCCCTCGAACGACAATGGTGCCACTGGGAGATAAATCACCACTAGATGAACGTCTGCTGCTGCTTGACTACAAATATCAAAAGCAGAGATGAATGGGCAATGTCAAAAAGAGAGATCAAATCTCAGGATATGTAACCAACAGACGCATGATCAAAACAAAAGTTAATCATACTGCAGTGCTTTGATCAGTGAAAAAGGATGATTTCTGTGTCACTCTAGGGGTTCGTGAAATGACAGTCCCAGAGCTGTTTGCAGATACTTTGCCCTGGTAAAGGAGTAATTCACCAATTTTAAGAAACAGATAACATTGCAAAATTGCGTGTTCTTGTCTTTGATAAGTACTAGGACATTGAGCATCACAAATGGGATCTTACATCTCCAAGTGAAATTTCCTCTCTCTCATCAGTTTGCTGATCTCTTCCTTTTATCTCAGTGGTGAAGTTTAAAGTTGAGTCTTGAGGCGTATTTCCCAATGTGGAGTATCGACTATCTAGTTCTGAGGATACCCTGGGAAGAACTTGAGTATATTGCGCATCTGAAAATTTTTCTTTGGTCGCATTGACTTGGGGTGGGCTCACAGCATTGCTGATAGTGCCACCACCAAGATTTCCACGCACACTGAAGTCCCAGCCAGCATTCCTACATATCCTTAAACAACTCAATAACAAATACACCATATATGACTTTATTGTTGATAATATATCATTGAAAAACTGAAGACAATATATAACATAACTATCCAATAAATATGTTAAAAAGAAAAAGTAGCAGCTAGTTTTCATTGATTTGCCTAATCTTCAGCAATATGATGAACATAGCATAGAACATTTAGACAAAACAGAAGAAATTTAATAATATCCATATCTGAGTTTATATGCACCTGGCTCTCACAGTCTCCTCATCTTTCAGACCTTTGGTTTCTCGAACTGGATTGGATACATCTTCAAAGGCAGTATGACCATTTCTCTGGGTATCCGGATTTCTAACCAGCACCTTTGGGCGTTCTCTATCAATTAAACAAATGTAAATATAAAGAGACATTTTGCTCAATCATATAAATAAACTTGACACTTCTTAAAGGAAGGACCAAATGAAAGTATGCAAAGAATAAT